TCAACTAGTACTTCACAGAAATATTTAGTTGACTCTGTCCGACACAATTGTCTTATGTGCAGCAGATGTGTTCAATCATTGTGAACACTTACGTCATCCTAATTTTCGAACTTATTAAAAGATCCGGGTTCAACTTTGTAGTGCCACACTTAACACTCATTCAAAATTGATTATTGTTTATAAAATTCTTAGCAATATATGAATTCTGTATCTTCAATCCGTAGTATTCCGTGCTGATATATTCAATACTTCACAGAGAAATTATACTTTTTGATTGTATAACTGTGTGATAAATGAAACAAAATCAGTGTCAACGAACCTTAACAGTGATGTATTTACATATTGTCTGATTACTCGGATTAGAAGTCTCAAAACTTGGGAGTCCTGAATTCAATAAATTGTTTTTAGCTCATTACGATTTTCGTCCCGAAGTGGTCGACCTACAGTAATCCAGGAACGGGGATTTGAGGATGCTGGTGGAGACTGACCCATCACAAACTGAGCGTCAGCGTGACCACATTTTATTTGAGAAATATACCTACAGTGTCATTGAAAACCTACTGAAATCTACTGCAATATATTTGAAGAGCACCAACATAGTGAAAATTTGAGTTTTGGACCACTAGGTGGCGATTGTAAAGACATTTGAATAGCATGACTCATTATAGAAGGCCTTGACCTTCTTACGGGTATGGGCCAATGGACGTGGTCTAATACTTGAAGTAGCAAGTTGCTTTATAGTTGGTTCTTTGTTGTTGGTTATTTTGAACACTTGAACTATTTCAAGTATTAGATTTCAAGCTTAAAAAACAGAAATGTTTCCTAGTTTGAAATGAAACTTTGAATTCTTTGAATGTTTGAAAACGAAAAGTGAAATGAGGTTATGTATTATTATCTTCTTCTTCCTTTATTCGGAGGTTGGAAGCATTCCGGAAGTGGATGTTTTACGATCTGTATCCAATTTGTGTTCTGCGTATCGAAGCGGGCAGAACATAAAAACAATGAATTTATGTCATCTACCGGCGAAAATTCATCTAATGCAATTTTTCAATTTGTGTTGAAAATCTACCGAAAAAGTAGAAATCTACCGCATGTGGTCAACCCTGCTGAGCGTCAGCTCTCTTGCGATCGACAGAAGTTCTCACGTGTCGAGGTCTGTTTTTCTTTGCTTTTGCGCAACCAAAACGATCCTTTTTTCGATCAGATCGTCACGTTCAGGACAGTGATTGGACACCGATGAGCCATCCAAGCACTTCCCAAAGGCAAAAACCCACTAAAAAGACCATGGTTACTGTGTCAGCAGCTGGTGTGATCCACCATAATTTTCTGCATCACAGCAGAGTCCAACTGCGTACGCAGCAGCCGGCACTGGTCAACAGAAGAGGTCAGATCCTGCTCCACAACAACGTCTGTCCGTACGTTTCACAAATGACGGTCCGAAAATTGAAAGAATTGAGCGTCGAAGTTCTGTCTCACCCACCATATTCCCCAGGCCTCTCGCCAATTGGCTACCATCTTTTCAAGTACTTTGATAACTTCCTCAGCGGTGGAACTTTCGCCAATCAGGCAAAACCAGATAAAAACGACCTTCGTCGATTTTATCGAATCTCGAGCACGCATTTTTATGCTGAAGGAATTAATCGACTTGTGTTACGTTGGTAAAATTGCACTGATTCAAATGGCGCTTACTTCGATTGAATTGAATAGGTAGATATTTACTGAAATATTACAGTTTAAAGTAAACTCATAAAAACGGACAAAACTTTTGAAACAAATTAATGTTATGAACTGTTTGACCTGAAACTGATGATTTTTGGTACGTAGACCCACACTATACTAACGAGTGAATCCTATGTTACTATTGACACTATTCTAGTTGATCGTATCATTCAGCTTAATGGTTACCACAATAATTATTTCCACTATGGGATTTGACCTGAATAGTGAGAGCTCGCTTTCCTCAAGCATATTAATTTCAGGACACCACATCATATGATCCTTACAACTTTCGTCGATTAACCATCTGCTGAGAAATCAGATGATGACATTATATATTCTCTGAAAACACTTTGTGTGGTGTCACTGAACCTCTTATCCAATTTGTAAAGTTTCAGAAAAGTTTGCACATTATATAAGTGGTTTTATAATTTCCTCAATATGCATTGCAAAAATTGTCGTGTTGCAATTTGAATGTTCTTTTTAGGTCGAATATAAATGTTAACATCATTAAACTGTGATTTGGCTTAATTTAGATACTTAAAACTGCAAGATTACATAACAATATGGAAAAACTTTAAATGTTTTTATCCAAATGGATTCACACATGCATTATTCACGTAAAATAGAATCAATGAACGTTTCATCAAATACTCGTTTCGATATTTACATACCAAAATAAAAGGTGATCAGATATTACCCAAACGAAATTAAATCCTTCTATGTAATTTTTATGATTTCATTACTTTGGAAAGAGAGGACATTGGCAGAGCAAGATCTTCTGATGGTGTGGTGCTGCAAGTTTTTCCGGGTTTTCCTGCAGCTAAAAAAGCAAATGCGCCACTGGAATCAATGAAGTCGCCACGTAGCGCCAATTAATTTTGGTTGTTTCATAATGTCACGATTTTTATAAAAATTGTTATACTTCAACTGATTATTTGAGACTATACATAGTTTATAATCATTCTGGTTTCTTTCAATTCATGTAGGAATCACACGTTAAAAGGTAAGACCTCGTTAGTTCTCAGCTCGCACAAGTTTCTCAACTTCTGAGAGTTGTCGTTCGTATGGGGGCGGCAGCTGATTAACGGAAAAACAGATTTTAAACAGATTTAAACAGATGTAATAAGTTGAATATTTGATCTGATAATTGACTATAAAGTGGATATTCTTGAATCGAATTTCCCAAATACATTTGATTTGTTGACAAGCATCTTTCTCTTACCTGCCTTTCGAAAACCCTGCAGCATCAAGAGCATATGATGTTTTTCTTTTCATCTTAGACACCGATTCCTATGCTCTTAGACGCAAGTTGCCTCTGTCTTTTTGTTGCACTGCCTATAGCTAAGGTTTACGTTACACAACACTATTTGGTTCAGGTGCCCTGTAATAGTTTCCAGCGGGCAGCCATGTGATTATTTGGAGCCTATTCTAGCTCTGTTGCAGTAACTCTTTAGTTTATTCCTCAAAAGATTCCTCTATGAATGTTCATCTAGTAATATTTATTTTCCTTTCTGATCAATTTTCTGACCTGATCCAGAACCAAAGTACTTCTACAGCTGGTTAAAGGGTCTTCCGACAGGGACTTCTGAACTTTGACAATTGATGTTAAAGCTACTGTTGCACTGTTTGGAACCTTTGGTGTAGTAATGAATATTACTGGAGTTTTATCCCAACATTAAACCGTTAAACTCGACACGTGTTTCAATCACCAAGTGAATATCTTCAAGAGGAAGATTAATCTTCCTCTCGAATGATGTTATAATTCACACATAATGGCATCAATCGGTCTTTCAATCGAATAAAACATTTCAATGATATCTCACACACACATTGTTTTATTTGAATTTAAAGATAGGAACCGCCTTTATATAATAATAATAATAAACGCTTTTATTGACTCTACAAAAAGTAACGCCAAAGGGCAGAGTTCTATCCCTAACCGAAGAAAGGGTTTGTTTTTCCATTCAACCCCCAAACAAATTTTTGTTTCTGTGAAATATTTTTCTATTATTGAGTTCATGGAAGAATGGTTTGTTGAATTTTCCAAATACGAGGAAAACCTATGAAATCTTGGGAGACCTCAATAAAGACAGTCTACGGAATGATAATAACACTGTCAAGATACTACCTGTAGACAAAGTTAATGTTATTGTTGTGGTGACTAAAAAGTATAAAGAAATACAGTTTAAGGTTCACCGAAGGGCAAAAAAAGATGTTCTCACAGATCTGGAAATTTAATGTTCCTTAGAACTGAAGCAATACTTACTTCAAATATTGTACTACTACTGACTCTCAAACATTATATAACACTTCTTTGATTGACGACTTGTATATTTTGTGGAAATTCATGTTCACTGAGGATACACTACAAAAGTTTTGAAAATGGTGTATTAGCCGAAACTAGTCAACAATAAAGAAATATCTTGGAAAATGGAAAAAGTGTATTTTTGTAGTGTATCCTCATTATATAACACTCTATTATTTAAGTAAATGAAACATTAAATCGGCATTAAAATAACCAATCGGTGGGGCTGGATTCTAAGTTTGTGAAAGAAGTTGCTCAATTTATAAGAAGTTGCTAGCTTGGTAAAATTAAATTGAATAAGTATCTATTTTACAGCTTTTACAACTTAGCTGTATTAGATCAAATGGCCAAACGTTCTTCGAACAAATTCTAATAGACCATTGAAAGTACAATCCATAAAATATTTCTAATATTTCTGCAAATCAAGAAGCTGGTAGAAATAGCCTCTTTTCAGTATTGGATCACGAACATTATGATTTTTTAGATTCTGGTCTTAACTATAAGTCCACAGTGAAAACTAAAGAAGAGAACAGGGTATGCAGCTCGTTCCGCAATCGATGTTGAAGTATGCTTTGGGAGTCTCGTTTATCATTGACATTCGAGGTTGATTATTCTGTCAATCTCAGATGGCATCTTCGAGAGAAGAGGTGCCATAGCCTTTTCTAACTCATCCTTGTCTTTTGAAGATAGTTGTGTCTAACAGTGGACGTTATTCAGCCTAGAACCACTAAAGAGACCTATGAATAATCGAAACAGCTTTTGATGTTGTATCAGGAATGATTTGTGGATTCTGGTTTCAACTAAGAAGCTACAGCCAAAAAGAGAATTCAGAATTTTCGGTTTTTCGCGTATATTTCAGGGACCAAGAGAGCCAGAGTCATTTTTCAATATCAATCAACAGTAGTCAAGAATGATGTAATCTATTCTCAAACTCTCACCATTATAGCCCCGTGTGAGTATCTAATATTTAACATACCTTTCTTCCCTTTTTCAGTAACTTCCTCCAGCACACTATTGCAATCCGAATCATAACACTCCGGTAAAATATTTCCGGTCCTCCTCTTTCTCATCGCGTAAGTATGCACGGGCACAATCAACTTAGGTCTGGGGATAACAAACTCGTTCGATTCACCACCGCCACCCTTGCGTGACGTAGGTGATGTCTTTTCGCGTATTTTCGGCTGCTGTGTCACTACTTTGTGTTTTGGAATTGAACCGTTTTTGTATAAACTATGGTACACTTCCTTGTAATCACTGTCCGTGGAAGCGGAAGAAGACTTGGCAGAGCACCGATCACCGGAAGAAGACGAAGAGGGGTAGATGTTTTTTGGAGGAAGACGTTGTCTAGGTTTTTCGGAGTGTTCGTAGTATCCGCTGTCTGTCCTGGTCAAAGATGATGTTTGCTTCGACTTTTCCTCGTCCACTTTCACGATATACTTGTTCTGATCGTCTATCCATGTGCTTACTCTCTCCTGAGTAACCTCCTCAGAGTCCGAAGATCCTTTGGAGGTTTTTCGTAGAGCCTCGATCAACTCTGGTAAAGGGTTTGTTGTGATTCTAGTACTGTCCTTACCTATTTCTGTACTCACTTCGTCAAATCTCACAGACTTTTTCATGTGTTTTTGCAGATCTTCTATCACAGTGTTGAACTGTTTGGTATTTTGGGAAGGCATCAAGAGTTTCTTCCTAGGTTTAGGCTTCGGAACTGACTGAGCGTCCAATTTCAGCTGCTTATTAGACTGCGAAGGAAAGAAGTACTTGTTCACCTCGTTGTCCAGGTTCCTCGAATTTTTCGAGTTAATCTTTGACAAACACTTGTCACTATGATACTTCAGCCTCATGCTGTCTTTTCCAGTCTTAGTTTTCACAGGCACGGCGTAAAGGTCTTCCCCTTCTTTGTTGATCTCATCCAGAATGTTCTGATACTGACCTAGCCTACTGGATATGGTTCCCTCTAAGCTCTTGTGGCTGTATTTGTCCCAAGAATTTGAAGCAGAACTATGATTCGATAGAGATTTCTGTGTATCTTCCCAGTTGGCCTCATACTGCTGACTTCTGACCTTATTCGAGATGTCCATCTCCAGCCAGGCTGGATCGTTGATCACAGCTTTCCCTGGATAGTGTTTTATCTTCATTTTGACGGAATGAACTAGCTTGATTGGAAATCAAATGACACTGCACAATACAGACAAAATCGATTTCGCTTTCAAAGTCATTTTCTATTTCCTCGGTCTTGCTCTATTTATCTGAAAACAATGACTATTAGGGATATTTGCACATATTCGTATATAATGTAATGAGGCATAGCTGATTGTATTCCATTGACCTGTTTCGCAAAGTAGAACTGATTTTATTTCTCGGGTGTTAACGATTACAATGCACGGATTATGTTGAGCTTGGCTGGTTAATAATAATGCATTAAAAATTAATTGTGGTTTATGAAGAACATAGTTACATCATAGAGTTTATATGGATATACGTTAAAAATGATGTTGCTGGAGAAAAAGTGGATTGGTGAAAAAAAAATGATGAAAACGGATATTCCTGTAGAAGTCCATGAAACAACAAGTTAAGAACTGTGCGAAGATGAAAGTTCAAACAAAACTTCAAGATAGCCGCGTGCAATGGGGTGGGAATCAAGATTGTTTAGCAGGTTCGAGTTCATTCGAGGTCAAAGTCACCTTGTCAACAATATGGGGGTGAATGAAGATCATTCAAGGTCAAACCCAAAACACTACTCCGAAGTCACTTCGCCTGCGCCGTGTAACGTCGGTCAAGGTCGTTCAAGGTCAAACTCAAAACACTTCATCCACCCTGGCTACGTCATGCGACGTATGTAGAGGTTATTTCAAGGTTAAACGTGGTGGGGGGAGGTTCTGAAATCGGCTTAAGCCAACTAACCAGATATAATATATAGTAATGGTGGAATAGTATATGGTGAATAGAAAAATGTGATGATCGCATAATTTAATGTTCATATAAAAGTAGTTGTTTCGAAAGTAATTTTTCAGTTTTTATCTGAACATGATCTACACATCTTTGGAAAGAGTTTATTTTGAACTTAATTGCTTTCTTCCTTCTTCCGGAAGTTTCTCACATTTTTTGTATATAGTTGGGAAAATTAAAAGTTAGATAAAAGTTTTTTCCCAAGTTAAAAAATTTAAAGTTGAGAATTAGGAGGTCAATGTTGAAAATACGAATTTAAAGTATGAGATTGTTCGGAATTTCTTGGTCGAGTTGTTACCGAAGTGGTTTTTTATTAGTTTTTCTGGAATTTTCATTTCTATATTCTGTTTTTCTGTTGCATCTAGTTCTTTCTACCAAGGGAAAAAAAGTTGGGAATACTTTTTCACTTGCTATCGTCCAACCCGTGTTAGGAATCACACGTTAAAAGGTAAGACCTCGTTAGTCCTTAGCTCACACAAGTTTCGACTTCCAAGGGTTGTCGTTCGTAGGGGTGCGACAGCTGGTTAACGAAAAAAGAAGTGAAACAGAAATAGTTTGGTATCGTACTTCGAACTGCAAGGTCAAAATTGATAGTTTGAAGTGTGAATTTTGAATTCAAATTCGAAATCACGCATTGAAGTCGGATTCACTAGATCAAAGTCGAAAGAACGATTTCGAGGTCGAAATTGAAAAATCAAAGCATAATATAAGGGTTCAAGGATCAAAAAAAATGTTTGAATTCCATTTTTGAATTCCATTCTTATAAGGCTCATTTAAAATATACAATATATCAAAATATCAATGTTTGAAAAGTTTGGTATTCACTGAATTCTATTTTTCATTTATCAGTATCTACTGTAACTTGTAATTTGTTTCAAGTAAAAATTGATTGATGAACAACAAGTTTTGGGGTTGAGGAAAGTTATTACTTTCTTTAAAAAGGTAATGACTGAAACTGCTGATTTTAGTATCAACATCAACACTGACCTCTCACAAAAACGAATAGTTTGAATATTCCCACATAAAATATCAAATTGAGATAGTCAAATTACCATGGCTCAACTAGTTTTCAGAGAACCATATTTAGTATAAGCCTCGCCCATCAACAAAAAGTGAAATTAATACATCTGGTGGTTGTACCACTTGAGTATATTTTTAATAATTTCAATACAATTTTGTGAAATAGAAAGTTTTCTAGTATGCTATTCAGGATTCATTGACAGAAGTGAACATTTAATGAGAAAAATGATTGACATATTGATAAAAAGGCTTCAATAACAGGAATGCCTATGTTTTCTAAGAATGAATTTTCATGCGAAAATCATTAAAATAATGATCAATCCTTTCCCAGAAATGATATAACAAAATAATTTTAACTTATCGACCAGTAAATATAGTTGAGGACATTAGGAAGGTATGGAATTAGATTCAACTTCAAATCAAGGTGGACATTGGTCAGGAAATCCTTGAGACCGCATATTTATCTAGTTCAGTGGGTAATTACGTTTTATTATTGACGAATGTTACTTCATATCCGTATTGACTTAATAATTTTCTGCTTGGCAAAACCTGACAAAACCGGAAATTTGAGCAAGCATTCCAAGAATAGACAAAATACAAAATTCTGTGATTTTCAGCCAACGTTTTTAATATTTAGTGTATCTTGAGAAATCATTACAGTTTTTTCTGGACCCAACAAATTCTACTAACTTTTTTCGTTTTCTTGGTACATGAATGAAAGATTTCAATCAAATTCATTTTTAGTCTCCTAATATCAGAATGCCGTTTAGAAGTAAATCAAGTATGAAGGATATACTTCAAAATTTAGCCCAGAAATGTGACGGAGTTTTTATTAAAATCCAAGTGGAGATTTATCCAACTTGCAGTAATGATTCTCATCATGAATGTTGCCTAGATATTCCATAACATGGAATATAAATTTTGAATAAGAATACAGAGTGATCGATTGAGAACGTAATGGCAGAACTGTCATGAAGGGGAAAAAACTTCCAACTCTAAGCATTTACAAGATATGCAGATTTGAAATGCAATCGATACGTTTCACTTTATTTTGTGGCAGCCGTTTTGTGACTGCCACCATATCGGATTTACAATGATACAGAATTCATTATATTATATTGTCATTAAAACTAAATGTGTGTACCAAATTTCGACTTTTATCTCGAAATTTTGACTTTAAACTCGAAATTTCGAGTTTGAAGTCGTAATTTCGAGATTTCGAGTTTGAAGTCGAAATGTCGAGATAAAAGTCGAAATTTTGAGATTAAAGTCGAAATTTCCAGATAAAAATCGAAATTTCGAGATTCAAAGTGGTAATTTCCAAGAAACAAATAATAAAAATATGTGGCCCTTCTGCGCTTCCGTAATGAACAAACGGGGCAAGCTAAATAAAACTGTTTGAAAAGAAAAAATGGTTGGTTTATTGTGTCTGTAGACTCAATACAACCGGAAATAATAGCTTGTTGGAGGTTTTTATAAGTCTCTAGCATTAAAACTAATTTTTTTTGGCAACAAACAATGTGAAAATCGTCCCCCAATTAGGTACCACACCAATTGAAAATTGGGGTGATATTTTACCAATCGCTTTACGTATTTTCCGGAAGTTTGACCCCTTCACAGGGCTTACTTAAAAAAAAACTGAACTTGAAGTGAAGAAAGCATTTTTGTAATTTTGAAAAAAAAATGCCTACCCCTCAAAATATCTCAAAAACTATCAATGACAAATATATTGGAGGACGAATATACATTATACTTATATTTTGGGTATCATTATTAGTTTTACAAATATGCTCTTTTCACTTCGAAGTGTATACCGGTCAAACCTCTAGAACATATTATATAAAGTGGTAATTGGGGTGTGGTTTTCCCATTTTTTGTCGCCTTTATTTTTTGCATTGTTTTTTCATTACTCCACGTTAGAACTTTCAATTTTGGCGTTCGACGAATAAGATCCAAACTTCAACAAGCTTTACTTCTTTTGTATCTGGTCTACTGACACCATATACACGCCATTTCATTAGCTACTCTCAAGCTACATTGTTACTAGAAATGAAACTTTTTGACAAAATTCTTATTTTTTGCAAAGCAAGAGTTTATTGGTTGAAAAATTGACGGAAATGAGTCAAAAAGTATCGACGTTCAGAAAAAATCTGCTTAGAATTAGTCAATCTATATATTTCCGAAATTACCCTTGAGAAGGGGTGTCATCCGTCCTCAGGATAAAAGAAAACCGATACAGAGTCAATTTTGAAGTAGAGGATAGGTGAGGTGAAGCTAAATCCAACTTTTCATAAACATCTGAAGAAAAACAATTTTATGGTTAACGGTGTTGAAGAAAATGAATGAATATTAGTTATTCTCGTTCTGAATTCTGTTGTTTCTGATGAAATAGGTCGTACCGGGAAATTGAATAGTTCTACGAGTGAAAAATGAGGCCATAAATCTTGATAAGCGCTTATAATAAATTGAAAAGAGTTATTACAATCATTATCTACTCTAGATTCATCTCTTATTGGAATGGCAATACTGACATCAACAGATTCCCACAGACGATAGATGATAAAAAATGCATACCGACAAACATTTACATAAACAGAACCGAGATTACCTCAATTAGTTAACTCGATCAAAATGAACCGTGGGACTTTAGAGACAGACACTCGGTGTACAAAAAAAAAAGAGTATGCTATGCGTATTAGAAGAAATTGAATTGATGGTCGCTGGTCGATCTAATTAATGGCTCATTTACTATAGAACAGAGAACTAACTCAGCAGATAGTGGGATCGTTAAATGATTTTGAAATTAGTGATTTGTTTATTAATTCTGATAAAGTTATCGGGTATGTCTTATGAATCAGTTAGCAAAATTTCCAGAAATAACTGATACATTAGACTCAAGAATAGTGAATAGAATGAATACAAAAGCTGTACTAGTTTGCTTCAAATATATTCATGGATAAATGAAAACCTTTCAAAGTACCAGAAACAATTTAATTCTCTAGCCGATATTGAAACGTTTATTTATTCACACTGTCATATGTATGTCGAAATAAACGATAACTGTGCACTCTTGAAGTTGGCGGCACTCTCAAACGGTCAAAAAAACCAATACATAGAAATGAATCGGCAGCGAACTAGTCCACGTGGATTGCAGACTTGGCGGTTCGTATTGGATAATTTTTACTAACCGAGTATTATGATTCTACATATCTACATATCAAGTTTAGTTTCGAGGGAAACAAACTATTACAAGCAACATCAAATTCAACCAAAATTGCTTTCTAAACTGTACG